CACGGTCACCCCACCCCCCACCCCCCACACATGCACACCCACCAAAGTCGTCGTACACGCGCTCCTTGTCCCAGGGGAAGGGCGTGTGCACGCGCAGGTCTCGCTCCAGGTACTCACGCAGCACGCCGACCAGCAGGAACTGGTACGGCTTCTTGGCCACCTCCTGCGGGGCGGGGCAGTGTGGGCGGGGAGGCAGTGGGCAGGCAGGCAGCCAGGCAGGCAGGGAGTCGTGATGCCCAGCCTGGCACCGGCAGGCAGCAGGCAGCACAGGCGTGCCCGCGCCCCGGGCGGCCGCTGGCAGGCGCCATCCCGCGCCCACCTGCTTCGCCTCCGCCGGCTCCGCGGCGGCGGCGTTCTGTGCCAGCATCTGCGCTGCCAGGCCCTGGTTGTTGTCCCTGCCGCCGGGGCCCCTGCCGGGCGGCGGCCCCGAGGGCAGGAACACCACCTGCGAGCAGCGGCGTGGCAGCAGGCGCGCAGAGGCGCATCAGCACCATGCCCGCTCAGCCGGCCTCCGCTCCCAGCAACAGGCAGACACCTCCTCCCGCTTCTCCCCCCAACCTCCATGGATCCACCCTGCCCTGCCTGCCCTGCCCACCCCTTGCACCCACATGCCTCCCACCTGCATCCCGGCCCCCCCATCTCTCCCTGCCCTCGCCCCCCAGCACCCCACCCCGCCCCTGCCGGCACCCCACCCCTGCCAGCACCCCACCTCCCGCAGGATGGCAAAGCGCGGCTCGTGGGTGGCCAGCGCCAGCATGATGAGGTCTGCGTCCAGGCCGTAGATGCAGTGGCGGGTGTTGGGGCTGTAGCCGGGCAGGCCGCGCTGCTCGCGTATGTAGGCCATGATCTTGTGCTCGCCCTCGCCGGGGCTGTTGGCGTCGCTGAGGATGACCTGCGGGGGTGGCGGCAGGCGGGGGCGGCGGGGCGCCAGGTTGGGAGGCCAGGGTGGGGGTGGGGCGCCAGTCTGGGAGGCTGTGATGCAGAGCGGCACGGCCAGCACAGGGCTGCCTGCATCCACGCCTCCCCTGCCTGGCGAAAAGGCTCAGGCGCACGCCCTGCGCGCCGCCTGCCTTGCCTCCACTCTGCCCAGCAGGCAATGCCCGGGCGCCGCCGCCTCGCACCTTGATGCCGCGCCAGCCCGGGTCTGCGTTGAGGCGGAGGTGGATGTAGTACTGGAGGGCCACAGACAGGCGGTGCATGAAGGGCGTGCCGGGGGTGATGACGTTGCTGTCAAACACCGCGCTCTCCTTCTTGGGCACCTTGATGCCCTGGGGCAGCATGGCACGAGGTGGGGCGGGAGAGGGCGTGGGCATGGCACGGCGGGCGAGTATGCGATTGGGCTGGCAGTTGCCCCAGCCGACACCAGAAGCAGCGTGCGGAAATTCCATCCTCCCATCCAATCCCGCCATCACCATCGCTGTGTCGCAGCTCCCCACAACACACACACACACACCTGCTTGGCAAACTCATCCCGCAGCTTCTCCTCCTCCTTCTCCCGCTCCTCCGCCTCCTGCGCCGCCCGGAAGCGCCGAGACCGCTGCTGGTTCATCTTGGCACGCGGCGCCACGCCGTCTGCACGAAGGAACGGGACCAGTGTAGAGCGAGGTGGAATGAGCGGTCGGCAGGACACGCTTGCGTCCATGTTGCACCACCAACCCCTAGCGCCTCCTCCCTCCCAAAGGCGCCTCCTAGCGGCAGCCCCCTTCCCCCTCCGCTCTTGCTGTGCCCACCACCGCACCCCAGCCACCCACCGATGGCCATGTAGAGCAGCTTGCGCGGGCGCACGATGGCGAACAGTCGGTCGATGTAGTCAAACATGGTGGTGAAGACCTCCTGCTCGGTGGTAGGTGCTGGGCGGTCCTCGGGGTGGAAGCAGGGGTGGATGATGCCGTTCATGTCCAGGTACAGGTTGTCAAACTCCAGGCCGTTGGGGTTGGGCTGGCTAGTGTCCACGGGCACCTCCACCCCGTTGATCACCTGCACCTCGTCCTCCACCACATCCTTGACAACCTTGGGGTACCTGCGGGCAGGCGGGCCGAGGCGGCGCGGCGGGGCAGCACATGGAAGGCTGCGGTTTGCTGACGGAGGCAGCCCTGTGACCAGCTTGCAGTGTGCTTGTGTGCAGCGGCGTGATCGTCACCGCCGCCGCCGCTGCATGCATTGCAGCGCAAAGGGGTTGCACAGTGACAGTGCTCACCGCTGGCTCAGCCACCGGTAGTATGATGGCACTCCCATTGTCTGGGCAGCCCTACAGGCCCGATGGGCCGTGCCCGCACCGGCTGCGGTGCTTTGGCGCTGGGATGAAGCCTCTCAGACCGCACTGAGATGTGTCCCACACGCTGAATGTGACCGGAGGCTCCAGGGAGCCCCAAATAAGAGGCCCTAAGTGGCCCGGCGGTACACTTGTCCTGCTCCCAGTCTGAATGGGCCTCTCTCTTATGAGCCCCGAATAAGAGGCCTCCCGTAGGCCCCGCAAGCAGCTCTGATCGTTGGCACTGGGCTACTTACCTTCGCCGGGAACCTCCACACCACCAGCCACAGCATGCCCACGCTCCTCGGCCTCGCTGCCTGTCTCTGAGAAGCCTATTACTAGCAGGGGGTCGCCCTCAGCGCCAGAGGAGCTAGATGAGCGGCGATGAGCGGGGTTCCGGCGACGAGCGGGAGGGAGGTGTCAGGTGTGTGCTGGCGGCTGGGTGTAGGACCCCAGAGGACCGTGGTGATGCGTGGTACGGTGCTGGTGGGGTGGGTGTGCTGCTGGGAAGGAGCACAACAGCCTGGCGCCACCACAGCGGCTGCGGCACCGCCCGTAAACGGGGCCTGGTCTGGTGTGTGCAGGGAGCAGGACAGGTTCCTGCCCATAGCCAACATCAGCCGCATCATGAAGAAGTCGCTGCCGGGCAACGCCAAGATTGCCAAGGATGCCAAGGAGACGGTGCAGGAGTGCCTGTCTGAATTCATCTCCTTCATTACCAGCGAGTGAGTGAGCCAGCTTTGCAGCGCATGTGCTGGGGGGGCAGCCTCTTGTAGAGCAAGCCCATGCAAGGTGCAAGAGGTGCAGCATGTCACATCTCTTTGACGCGCCAGCCGGGCGTGATTCGGGGTGCAGGGCCAGCGACAAGTGCCAGCGGGAGCGGCGCAAGACCATCAACGGCGACGACCTGCTGTGGGCCATGACCACCCTGGGCTTTGACGAGTATGTAGAACCGCTCAAAGAGTACCTGGCCAAGTTCAGGGAGGCCGAGAAGAAGTCGCTGGCAGCCAACGCAGGAGGCACGGGCAAGGCGGCGGCGCCTGCGGCCGATGGGTAGCCTGCGGCGCGCACCGTCGTGTGCCTCCTTGCCACGCTACACGCGCCTTCCTGATTTTTCAATGCTGCTTTGGGTACCGCAGCTGATCCCTCTGCCCCATTATACATGTCACTACTGTGTTGTGGCTGCCATCTCCTGACTGCCAGGCGGCCCCATTCACTTCCACCTATTTACACCTGTCCCTCACCCCATTTTTCGTACTGCTCAGTGGAGCCCCTCTCCCTACCTGCAACTCTATCGTCTGTTCCAGCTGTAATATGCAAGCCAGCTCAGCTACTTGCACAGATAATGATTGTACAGGGGAGCGGTTACAGGAGTGAGGTCGCAGCACAACAAAGGAAAACAGCGCAAGGGAGAGAGCAGGTGCAACTAGGGAGAAGTGGCAAACATCAATCAACAGCTAGCTGCCAGCGAGCAGGGTAAAGAGGTCACCTCGTGATGCGCGGTCCCTCTCACAGGCCGTACTGCTTGGCCACCCGCCGCAGCGCCTTGTCCAGCACCTTGGCCTGGTTGCCCACGGTGTTGGCGGTGTTGGCTGCGTCGCTACGCAGCTGCAGCGCCTGCTTGGAGGGCAGCTCCCGCAGGTCGGTGATCAGGCCTGCAGGCACGTGGGAAAGGATGAAGGGCAGCGCACATGGCATCAAGCACACGATGGAAGCTTCAGCTGCAGGCAGGCCCCCAAGCCTCCTGTGCTGCTTGTACCCAGCGCGCAGCTCCATGGCCACAGCCACAGCAGCACCGCCTGGCAAACTCACGCTTGGCCGCCTTGCTGCTGCCGCGCACGCGGCTGGCCAGGCTCTCCAGCTCGCCCGCGGTCGACTTGAGCTTGGCACGGCCACGCTGATACTCCAGCTCAGCCAGCTGCAGCCGCTCCTGCAAGCGGTCCACACACGGGCAGGCCAAGGCGGCACGCGACGGTTGGTGGAAGGCGGGCCACGCTTCTACAAGCCATGCAGCACCCCGGGCACCTTCCCAGGGCAAAGTACAAGCCACGTAATGCTAGAGGACGGCATGCACCGCTGGCCAGACTGCACATCGCACAGGCGGACAACAGGCAGCAAGGTGCATGCACTTGGGTGACCGCCGTGCTTGCCTGCAGCTTCTGCAGCTCGCCGTTGTGCCCCTCTGCCTTCTCCTTGAGCCCCGCATACCGCTGCTCCGCCGACTTGAACATTGCCTCCTCGCTGCGGAACCTGCCGATGGTGTGGCGCAGCAGGAAGCGGCGCGGCCCCGGCAGCAGCACGAAGAAGGCGGCCACGCCTGTGGCCATGCTGGCCTCTGGGTGCTCCTTCCGCACGAAGCGCACCCCCTGCTTCATCAGCTCCAGCGCCTGCTGCTCCGTGGCCTGGTAGTGCGCCAGCCCTGTGTCGTAAAACCGCTGCAGCCGGGACTTGACGGCCTCGCTCTCGCGCCCCGCCGCCGACACCCCCGCCCGCACCGCCTCGCTGGCTGCGCTGATCCCCGCATCCAGCGCTGCTTCCGCTTTGCCGGTGGCGCTCTTCAGCTGATCCTCCCACACCTTGCTGGCCGTGCTCAGCTTGTCGTCCCACAGCTTGCCTGCGGGCAGCGAGCGTGCGGCGGGCGGGGGGGCGGCAGGTATCGACGCAGGTGCCAGGGGCGAGGCGCGGCCCTGAGACAATATGCCATGCCAGCGCCAATGCTTGCCGCATGCAGTGGGCCCGCATCAGCAACCAGGAACACGACGAGGTGCGGCGGTGCCAACCGTGACGTCACACGCGCCACCCGCTCGCCGCCCACCCCAAGGTGTGCACGGCCCTGTGGGCCATCCAGACTTGCCTGCCGAGGCCGGGAGGTTGGAAATGTCGAAGCTGCGGCCAGGGTTGTCGCCCTCTGAGCCCTCTGCCGACGGTGACGCCATTTTGGAAGAGTTGCACGCCGATCGCAGCTGCACGTTTCCTGCACCCACTCAGACAAAGGCAATCACAGGACGGACAGCTGCAGGGGGCGATCGGCCCCCAACTGAGTGCCCGCAGCGCAGCATAGGCAGTACAGGCTTGACTCTCGCGCTCAAGGCTGTTGGCAGCTGGTTCTCTCGATCGGAGCTCGTTTTGCAGATGTCACAGGGCCTACTCAAATTGAGAGCGCCCTCTCCTGCAGCAGGCAGAACCCCCAGGAGCAGCTGGCGCAGGCAGGCCGTGAAGCCCATCATGACTACCCTGATCAGCTTCGGTGAGGAAAATTGGAGGGGCTGGCAGCTAGAGGAGAGGGGTGGGCGGCCCACCACTTGCACCCGCCTTCGGCTGGTGGGCCCCGCCGCTCCTCAGCGCCAGCTTGCCAGGAACATTCGGCAAGTGCGAAGGCTGTTTCGCTCACTCCGTCCACGGCACGCTTGCAGATGTGGATGGCACTTTGATTCACTCAGTGGGCCAGCGCGCCAACTTCCTCCACAAGCAGGCCTTCTCCGCCGCCTTCAAACAGGTTGGTTGGCCAGTACGTTGTTTGGGCTCTGCGTAACACAAACGGCAACAAACAGACCTTACCGATCGCCCGCCACTGTTGCAGGTGTTTGAGCTTGACACACACATCGACGTGGTGAAGCACCATGGCAGGTGCGGGCGGCGCAACTCTCAGCTGCATGCGGGCGCAGGAACCCTGGGCAGGGGCTGGGAACCAATGCGCCCCGGGCCCCGGTGCGTGCCGCCTCCTGCGTGCAGCACCGACGCGCTCATCCTGCTGCACGTGCTGGTGCACCACGGGGTGCCGCTGGAGGAGGCGGTGGCCAAGCTGCCGCAGCTCAAGCAGGCCATGGTGGACCACTTCCTGGCCAACAAGCAGCAGGCGGGGGAGGGCCTGGAGCTGCTGCCAGGCGTGCTGCCGCTTCTGGAGGCGCTGGCGGCGCGGCCCGACGTGGCAGTGTGCCTGGTCACAGGCAACCTGGAGCCCATTGGTGGGCCTGCCTGCCCCAGCACCGTTCGTGCCATCAGCCGTGCTGGAGCCGTGCTGGAGCCGTGCTGGAGCCGTGCAGCTCCAGTTTCAGCAGTCACCGCAGCCAAGCGCACCCAGCTTGCGTGCCAGCGCCCACACCCGCTCCCTCCTGGGTCCCTTCATCGCATGCAGGCTGGTGCAAGATGGATGCGCTGGGCGTGCGCCACCTGTTCACCCAGCCCAACTTTGGCGGCTTCTCCACAGACTTCTGCAACCCCGACAACGTGGGGCAGAGCTGGAAAGACCGCGCCGAGTTTGTGCGCATTGCGGCGCGCAAGCTGGAGCTGCAGCAGCCAGGTGGGCGGCGGCGGGGCTGGCACCCCCCCCAGCCCTCTCGCCTGCATGTGTTGCAGGTGGCACGCCTGGCTTGCCGTGCTCCCCATGTGGTTGAGCTGCCCGTGCTCCACCTTGCCGCAGAGCTTGACGTCAAGGCACGGTTCCACGTGGGCGATGCCCCCATGGATGTGCAGGCGGCGGTGGGTGGCGGCGCGCAGGCGGTGGGCGTGTGCACCGGCATTTACACGAGGCAGGAACTGAGCGAGGCGGCACCAGGGGCGGTGGTGCTGGAGGATCTGCAAGACTTGGGCGCTGTGCTGGAAACTTTTGGGCTCAGCTGAGCTGCTGCAATCCCCATTGACACATTGCGTATTTCATTGCAAATGAACTTGAAAGTCATGACTCAGCGACTATTAGTGTGTGGCGCGCCGCTAGCGCGGCGGGCGGCGAAAGTCTTGGGGGGGGGCGTTGTTTGGCCTGGCCTGGCGGGCTCATCGATCCCAGGAAGCAGCATTCAATGTTTAAAGGGTACAGGAACGCATCCAATTGCTGGGCTTCCCCTGACCCAAGCCAACCTGCTGGGCCAGCTCACAGCAGCACCCGGGTGCACCCTGGCGGCGCAAAATGCCTCGATTGCGGCGATCACACAATCCCGGCGCACAGTGGATTGCTCCTTCTGTCTGGCGAGGCACCTCTGCACAGGAGTCCCTGCATTGCTGCTCCATCAGTTGGAAGGAGGGTATAAGCGGGGCGATTAGCAGCAGCTGCAGCAGCCATGGCGCATCAGGACTGCAGGTGCGCGACCGCATGCTGCCCGCACGCCACCCACCGCCCCGCCCACCCATCACCCTCGTGTGAAGCAGCGGGCTATGCTAACAGACAAAGCAGAGGCTGCAAGTAGCAGGGGCAGATGGGAGAGGGGCGGGAGGCGCTGGGCTGAGCTCGGTGCAGGCGCCACGGCGTTGGCGGCGGGCAGCAGGTGGCGGTGCCGTCTGGCGATGCGGCTGCTCTCCCTCGACGCAAATCATCATCACACCTTGTGCCTGCAGATTCTACGAGGCCAAGTTTCCAGAGGTGGATGATGTGGTGATGGTGCAGGTGCGCCGCCGACAGGCGGGGCAGCACCACCAGCGCAGCGAGGCGACCCAGCCACGGCCCTGGAAACAAAGACTTGCTCCTTGCATTGGGCAGTGGAGAGCCGCAGCCCGCCAGACCTGCAGCCAAGCTGCCAGCTGCTGCTGTGCCATCTCCGCACGGCCTTGCAGCGCCCCGTCTGATGCCGCCCGGTCGGCCGTCTTGTGCGCCGCAGGTGCGCTCCATCGCCGAGATGGGCGCGTATGTGTCGCTGCTGGAGTATGGCGGCATCGAGGGCATGATCCTGCTGTCGGAGCTGAGCCGGCGGCGCATCCGGTCGGTGCAAAAGCTGATCAAGGTGGGGCGGCAGGAGCCGGTCATGGTGCTGCGTGTGGACAAGGAGAAGGGGTACATCGACCTGTCCAAGCGCCGAGTCAGCCCAGAGGACCTGGCGGTGAGTGGGGTGGGGCAGCCGGGGCTCGGCAGGCGGGGGTGGGAATGGATGTGCGATGGTGGGGCCTGAGGCTGGGGCGGCAGTGGCGACTGGCCCAGCGCGGCAGGGCGGCAGGATGGGGCAGAGTGCAGCCGGCACCGCACACTCGTGGAGGCGTTCAGACAGAGCGGGCTTGGCGGCGTGGCTGCAGCCCCCTGGCCGCCTTGCGGCCGCGGAATTGTCGTGTGCGCTGGCTGCTGAGCTGCCGCCGCCTTCCCCGTCCCGCCTGGCGTGCCCCTGGCCCCGAGCGCAGAAGTGCGAGGACCGGTTCGCCAAGAGCAAGATGGTGCACAGCATCATGCGGCACGTGGCGGAGACCACGGGGCACAACCTTGAGCAGCTGTACGCTGAGGTGGCATGGCCGCTGTACCGCATGTACGGCCACGCATACAATGCCTTTGCCACCATGATCACAGGTGGGGCTGGCGGCTGGGGCTGCGGCGGGGGGGCGCACCGGTGTGGGATGCCACAGGGGCTGGTTGCCGGCGCGCCCGCCCTGCCCCGCCGCGGCACTTCGAGCCTGGCAGGGCCAGTGCAGCACGCAGCTGGCATGCCAGCAGCCTGGCGGTGCAGCAGGCGCGGCGGCTCGAGGCGCGCACCTCTTGGCTGCGGCGTTGACTGGGGCTGGCTGCCGCCCTGTGTGCTGTGCGCGCAGATGAGGAGGCGGAGGCTGTGTTCAAGCGCCTCATCGAGGAGGTGCACGGCGGCAACAAGCCCGAGGTGCTGACGCAGGCGGTGCAGGAGGGCATCATGGTCAACATCAGGTGCGGGGAGGTGGGGCCAGGCAGGGGAGGGCGCCGGGAGGGACGGGAGGAGAGACGAGGGAGGCGGGGCGAGGGGCTGCCGCGCCCGTCGCCAAGCTGCTGCCCCGTCTCTGGCTCGCCTGATACCGCCTGTTGCTGCCCTCGCGTGGTATGCTCCTGATTCCATCTGCGTGCTGCCTGCCTGCCTCTGCTGCTGCCGGCGCCGCCCCTGCCATCCCCTCCCCGCCGCCTGCGGCCCTCACAAACCCACGGCCCACCTTCTCCCTCCTCCCCCCACCCGCAGGCGGCGGCTGACTCCCCAGGCCATCAAGGTGCGCGCCGACGTGGAGATGACTTGCTTTGCGTACGAAGGAGTGGAGCAGATCAAGGAGGCGATGCGCGTGGCGCAGCGCTGCGGCAGCCAGGCCTGCCCCGTCAGCATGAAGCTGGTGGCGGCGCCGCGCTACGTGCTCACCACATCCGTGCTGGACAAGACGCAGGTGGGTGGCATGGGGGGGGGGTGCGGGGGGGGGGAGGAGGGAGATGGTTGTCCGTGGGTTTGTGAGGGCCGGGT